ACAGAATTTATAGTTACATCTAGCAATTTGTAAAATATGACCTAGCTGCCAATCTAGTACTGTGCTTAAATTCATAAAGTCATGGTTCCAACTCATGAGAACAACTACCATGAAAAATATTTATGGAACAGGCACATGGAAGCAATGTTACAATGGTAGGAAAGTGACTGAAGCCAAGATGACAGGTCAGATTCTTTGTATTTCATCAAGAATGTCTAAATACATAGCAGAAGCACCAGATCAAATATAGCAATATTCAATGCCTGGATGAATGGTAGATTTACAAATGTGCAATATACATTCTGATGTAAAAAAAATTATCTAGCACAATACTGTGAACCAACATTTTTAACAGTAGATCTAGTAACAGATTCAGTATAATGTTTCCACTTCATGTTTAGTGAAAAACGTTAGCCTGAGAAGGTATAACAAATCACTTTCCTGGAGATTTGCATCAGCTACGCTGATGGAAAGCAAAAAAAAAATAGGTTCTCTATGATGATTAAAAAAGAGCAGTTTTATTTTGGAAGTGTTAAAATTAAAAAGCCATTTCTTGCTCCAGTTAAAAAATAAATAAAAAATTGTACATTTTTTTAGATCAGCTGCCAATTTGAAACTGATCAGATTTATCATTAAGATGGGAGTAAATAGTTGTATCATCAGCATAAAGCAAGTTGAGAACTGATGTCATCAGAAAGATCATTGGTGAAAATTAAGAAGCAGATGGGTTCAAGGATGTAGCCATGGGGGGATATCGGTATTAATGCCAAATGGCCTAGAAGAGTGGTCATTCAAGCAACTTTCATTTTGAAATTTGATAAGATTGAATCAGATCAAAAATTAATCTAGAAATACCATAATCTTTCAGCTTGTGAAGATCAGCATGCAAAACCTTGTCAAATGCCTTTGAGATATCTAATGCAGCAGACTGAGCTTCACCATTATTATTTAAAACTTGATAGACTACTTCAGCAATAATTGTTAATATATCAGCAGTTGACCTAAAGAAGTGAAAGTCATTGCTTGTCTGAAAGAAGACTACTTAAAGTGAGATACTTAACTAATTCAGAGTTGATTAGAGCCTTTAGTACGTAGCCAAAAAGAGGCAGAAGGTAGCTGATAGAAGAATCAGACTATTCATTTGAGTTCTTAAAGACTGAAACTACAGATTATTTCCCACAAGCAGGAAAGCAATAAGCAGCAAGGCATTTACTGTAGAGTATAGAAAGAACAGGAGACAGTTCAGGAACACATTTCTTAAAGGACCATTGAACAGATAACATCATGTTCACATGCTTTGTGAGGATCCAGTTTAAAGATGATAGCAGAAACCATGGGTGGAGTTCTAAGTGGAAATTCAGGCAAAGATACTCCAGATGAATCAAGAGTAGAACATTCTGCTTTATCAGCAGAATATAATAATGCCTCAAATTGAGTGAAGAGAGGAAGGATAATCAAAGTAACAAAACTACATTTGTTAAAATATGTAATTATTCTGTTGGTTTGCAATCTACCAGATATTGTATATTTTACAAGTATATTTCCTGCATTTTGGGAAATGTATGGATGTTTTCAACACAAAATGGTTATAAATCAGCAATATCAAGTTTTCTATTGCCCATGTTTACAAAAATACTTTTGTTTATCCCTTATGTTGATTTTTTGATAATGCAACATCTCAAAAATTTGTTTATTCTCAAGGCAGGATGTTCATCAGAATTGACCAATATATTGTTTGTTTTTTTTTTTCTTTCCTTTCTTTTTGTCACCTAAATTGGTTCAAAGTTAATGCTTTGATTTATTCTTGCATCAAATACTTTCATTCAGATGTAGAAATGCATTTAGGAAGAGACACATTTTCAAACACAAATAAGCATACAATTGTTTATAAACATACAGTTTGGTTGGTGAAGATCAGACTTGGACTAAGAGTGACACTTACTACTTTGACTCTGAACTATGGCGTTTAGGTTATTGATTTCCTTGAAAGTGAATATTATATGTTAGCAGGCTGGTTGATTGGTTGGGTGCAATGTCAGATGTTTCAACTGGCAGCAAGTCAGGATCTTCCCTTACCACCTACAACCTTATTAGCTGACTCATTATCTATTGATTTTGCTGTTCTCCTCTCCCACTTCTTTCTGCCACACCCTTCTCCATCCCCTTGACTAATGTCCCCATTTCATTTACCAGTCCCTTACTACTACTACTACTACTACTACTACTACTACTGTACATGTCATATGTCAGGGCTTGTTTTTAGAAATGGTACACTAGACATTGAGTTTTGTCCTTTTCTGGGGGCAAAACTCTGATGAAAGGGATGCCTGCCTAGTTCTGAACACCAATACAGCTCATCCTCTAATCTTTCCCTCTTCCCCCCCCCCGTTTCTTCACTCCTTTTAATCTAAGGAATTTTCTTGGGATGATTCACCAGGTTTAAGGCTTAGAGTATTCTGGCTGATGCTTTTTCATTTTCTTCTTCATCCTCAATAAATAAACAAAAATTCAAAGGAAATCCCAACTTAAATCATAATAGCTGGTTCTTTTTCATTGTTGTTATCATCATCATTTGTCTTTTCTCCTCTCTTGGTTGTTTTATCGACCTTGTCCTTTATAAGTGTGTGGGTCAGGTAGGTTATAATTAGCCGGTTGTATCATATCCTAATATCTATATGTCTCACTACATCTGTCTACTTAAGAGCTGTTGCCTTTTTCTTTTGGCCCTTCTTTGGTTACTTTTCAGGTAAGCCTATGTTGTTTTTCTTTTTCTTAATTCAAAAGTGAATCTAAATAACAGCATATAGTCACCTCCCTCTGCTCATCTTTACATTAATTAGAAGTGACCTCATCATATCTACACACCTTATTCTAGATCTGTTATTTTGAAATTAGACATGGCCAGTCTTGGAAATGAAGAATTCTTTTCTGTTGGTAGATTTGAGAATATTTTGGCCTTTTATTTATTATTCTTGGTTAACCTCCAGACACTGTAGCTGCTTCAGCATAAGGATAATTGTCAGTAAAGCTAGTCTGCACCATACAAAGTTTGACATTAAAAAAATCCAATAGTGGTTGACAGGTTGTTTAAAAAAAAATCAATTGAAAACCATGCATCATGTTTATTTCAGATTTTTGGTAACCATTAGAAATATTGAAAATTGCTAATAACAGCAAAAAACCTAATGTTGGAAAACATTTACTGCCAACAAAAAATTGGCTTCTCCTGCAAGGAAAATATCTATAAAATATTAAGTAACTTGATTCTGACTTGTATACATAGTAAAATGAAAAAAAATTATATATATAATTTAAAGGATATTTTAATGAGCAGCTTTTAGCTTTTCTACTTTCTATATCCTATGTGCAAATGGAAATATTCAGAAACTTTTGAAAAATGTGTATTTGAAATGTGCTCTAAAAATTCTCTTAGATTTCTTTAAAGATTTAATTTGAACTCACAATTACTTGTTTGCAATCTCTTACAATAAATGTCAACACACTAGCTACCTGCTGGAGAGTAATGGCTAACAAACTGGTCTTGAAGATCAATTACAGGTGTTGTGGCAGCCAGTGAGAAATTGTTGACAAAGGTAAATTTAGTAAATATACAAACACAATTTTGTAACATAATTTTACTTTATTTTAAAATAAGTATTAATAGTACCCATAAAAATTTCTTTGTTTTGCTATTTGAATTTTCTAGCATATCATAATATTTAATGAATAAATTGCGAGTTCCACAACTACAAAATACCTCTATCCTCTCTCTCTCTTTTTCTCACTAAAACCAAACAGCTTCTCTGGTATGTTTTTCCTTTTTATTCTCACAATCAAAACTTAATAGTCTATTATTTATGAGGTAATGGCAGGGTGTAATATAATTACTAAATAACTAACAAGCAGAACTATTATAATATGATACTATTATTAATTTTTGATTACTCTTTCTGTCATGCTTTTTATTTCAACATTTATCATTTTTATATTCATTCTATGACTATTAAGTAAGCATCATGGATTGAAAATAAAGATCAAGCCTCTGGTGAGACTTGAACTCTTATCTCTTCTCTTTGAAAATATGTTAGTACCTTATTAGAATTAAATCTTGCCATTCCAGTCCTTATTTACTTAACAGTCAAAGAATAAATATAAAAATAATCTGACAGTTACAATAATAAACAACAAAAATAAAATGAAATATTTAAGAAATTCAGACAACTTAAACTATTATAAAGTTCGCTATTTGGATATTTGAATACTTTTTAAATGTTTACATGTAGTTATTAAATATCAGTTTCTATTATTGTATACTATTTTATTAATATAGATATTGCAACTTTTTTTCTGAGCTCAAAATCAAAAATATAACTGGCTACATTTTATTCTTTTTCTATTGGGTTGTTTTCTTCATAACCCTTTGTTAAATTTTTAATAGTGATTTTTCAAGATCATTAACAAGTAAAAACAATTTTGATTTAATTGAAAATAACTTCACTTTCTCTTTGGTGACTGCTAAATGTGATCGTAGGACTTAAGCTAATTTTTTCAAATTGTAGCTTACAAATGTATAACGTTAAATTTATTGTTGTTGAGTCACTGATTAAAATGAGGAAATATTGTGATATTGTTCCTGGAAATATGGCTAGTGTTACTGTAAGATGAATTCAATTTTGTTTTTCATTTAGGCTTTTCTAAGCAAGTATCTTTGCAAAAGGTTTCAACTTTGTATAAAAAATTCATACAACTACATAGAGAGGGCTTCTTTAAATAATTCTTATAATTCTGAATTTACTCCTGCACAATTTCTGTCAGAAAAGCAAAAAACAATTTGGAATAGGGATAAAACATAATTGTAAAACTTTGTGACTTTTCTTTTCTTTTCTTTTTTTTTTTTTTTTTTTTTTTTTGTACTTTTTGAAGAAACATGAGAAATTTACTCCTATTTGTCTGTCACTCTAACAAAACAACTATTTTTTTTTTTTTTTTTTTTTTTCCAGGTGCAGGAAAATGGAAACCTTGAAGACAACATGCTTACTTCTCAGCCTCATTCATACATTGACTGTGAGGGTGATGGGCATGGGAAGTGGAAGCAACCTGTGGACTTACAGTCAGGGACCCCCTTGATAAAAATGGAATGCCCTGAGGAGATTACTGCCTCTGTTCCTGAGAACCATGTTTGTCCCAAGAAGGCATTATTTACTGCTAGTGGAACAGATTACATCAGTAATGGGAACGTGACCTCTTCTCGACAGATCAAAGTGAGCGCAGAAGGGTGGCAGGGCCATCCATGCCAAGCAGGTTCTAATGGCCACCTCAGTAACTCTGGTGATGGCCAAGTATTAAGTCAGTTGTCATTAAGCATGACAAGCTCTGTAAGTGCCAGTGCAGAGACTCTATATAGTAATTATACTGCAAGGAATCTACGATGCCAGGAGGAAGATGTTGTTTCCAAGATGGGGGTAAATGACAGGAGTGTCTGCAAGAGGAACCGGCCATTGTCACATGTGAACCAGAGTGAAGATAGCAAACCAAGGGAGAAGAGGAGCATTGGGAAGATGGAGAAGATTGCATGCCTACCATCCTCCATATCACATGATGCTGGTTCAGGGTTGCTTGATGAACAGACAGAAAACTGCATTGTGGTCAAGACTGACATTGCAAATGAGCATCATTTAGCCTGTGAGAGGAATCCACCTCGGCAAAGCCAAGTGCCACTTCGAAACCACACTTCCAGCTACAAGTTTCACTCCTTGAGAACTGATAGTTGCAACTCAGGGCCTACTTCCCGTGATCTCTCTTCCAGTTGTAAATTAGACCAAGGCAGGCACAGTGCTTGCAACCAACAGAAGTCTCTGGAGAATAGTTTAAATACAGATAAAAACTTTAGAGACTTGGGTGCTCATAATGAGCATCCAAATATTTACACATTAGAAAATAGAAAGTCACGAACGTTTCAGAAAATTTCTAGAAAAGCCAGGTCACTGAATTCTGTATACAGAGAAAACACAGTGACAAAATCATCTTTGACTGAAGAACTTTATCAGACATCTTCACCTTATCCTTCATCTTCCTCATATATCCAATCACAAAACAATAAATTATTTTCTTCTGAAGCTTTGGGACTTTATCCTGAAGTCCCATGTGTCAAATCATCTTTGCAATATGAACAAAGTTCTGTGATAAACCAGCGGCATCTGGCATCGCTGCCAAGAAAAATACAAGAAAGGCATTCTTGGCCTTTGGACAGTAGTCCAATTAAAGAAGAAGCAGGCAGGAACTCCGGTCAGCATCCATACCTGAATGAGGTGCCAAGTCCTCCAGTTTTTAAAAATGTTTCTGAAGCTCTTCATAGACTACCAGAAAGTCCAAAGGTGCCTTTGGTTTGCATGAAGGATGTTATTGTTATTGACTCTTCACCTGGTCATGAAATTTCTACTGCCTCTTACCATTCAAGCAGTCCTGAACAATCCCCCACTGCCAAATCTCTACATCCTCAAAGAGCCAACACTTCTACAAAAACAAAGACAGCTCAAAGGCTTTGTTTTGCTCATGAAAAAGAATCTACAACTTTGGCCAGCAAAACTAAAAACTTGAAAGATAACCTTGTATCTCTTGATAAAAATCTTGGATCTGACATCAAGAAGGATAATCATAATAAAACTGCTGCCCCAAAGGCTACCAGTAATAATGTAACATCAAGAACTACGGAAAAGGCAATCTCTGTAAATAATTCTGACCTCATTCTGTCAAGAACTGACCGGATACGTTCACCTAGCATCCGTTACAAAGATGATGTTTTATTTTTTCCCTTGGTGTTCCCTAGTCGGTCCAGCCAATCGGCTACAAATAGGGTGAGTGAAGCAGTTGAACGGAGTTCAAATAGCCGTCAATCCCAGGCAGAGTTAGATGAGAAAGCAGTTCAAAAAAAAGAAAGTGTGAAAGTTGTGGAAAATGTTAAATCTGTGGAAAAAGTTAAATCTGTGGAAAAAGTTAACTGCCAAGGTAAGAAGAATACAAATTCTGCTGCTGCTTCGAAACAAACCAAATCTCTTGATCGGAGAAGAATCCTTCGGAGGTCATCTGTGAAATCAGAAAATACAGCTATTATTAAGGATGCTGCTTCTAATGAATCACTACAAGTGACATCAGTTCCTGCTAATAATGAACAGTCATCTTCACCCAATTCTAAGATACTTTCTACCAATTGTGAATCAGCCCCTTCATCAGACTCTGCCCTTTTACCCCCCAAATCCAACAAAGTTCTTCGTAGTCAGTCGTCATTATTGAAAGCTTTGGCATCACCTCCTCCACTATCATCACCATCACCATCTGCATCCTTGTCATTGCAAGTACCAGGTCCTGGACAAAAATGCTCAACTAGTGGCAGAACCTCTTTAAAAGACCAAGCTGACAGTATCCCTGATCCCAAAACAAAAGAGAGCAAACCCAGCCCCAATAACACCAATCATCCAAAAATCACCACTTCAAATGTTAAAGCTACTATTACAGACGTTACTTGCAAAAGCCAATCTCGAGCAGACCAATCTCCAGTGAAGAAGTTAGTTCAGAAAGCAGTTTCCAAACTGCAGAGCGGTTTGAGAAGCTGCAGTTCTACCTCAGCTGTGATCAAAGAACCTGCACCACTTAGTGTTCTCTCACGACCAGAGAAGGCATCATCCGAGAAGAAAAAACTTAATGCTTTTGTAAGTGATGAGCTGGATAAGTATCTTGCTCAAGAAATTGGTAATTATGCGATATCCCCACAGAAAATAAGCTTATCCAATAATGATAGTTCTCCCAGCAGCAATAAGATCAACTGTGAAGAGAATAAAAAAGTTGTTTCAAAAAAATTGTCCCTTTCACCTAAAAAGATTTTCTGTGATAAAAGCTTAACTTTGAGTAAGAATGAACAGTCTGATTTTAACAGCGCAGCGAAAACAACGACAGTAGCATATAATACAAGGAGCAACAGTTCTTTAAATAATAGCATGAGCCCAGAGAAAAATGACAACCAAACTGGTAATTCATCTGTTTCTTTGAACATGATGCAAATATTCCCAAAAGTTGATCCTGATGCTGCTTCCTCAAAGATATCTGAGAAGCAAATGTATACTGTCTGTAAAACAGAACCAGTCCCAAGCCCAACTCCTGCTTCCAGTGACTGCCAAAACCTAAGAATCCTGAGACCAAGGCCAGAGCAATTGGCAGCTCGGTTAAATAGACCTGGCTCAAGTTATTCCAACAGCAGTATCTTCACAAGTAACTCTCAATCCTATGAGCCTGATTTTGATGAGATTGATGGTATTCTTTTCATGTCTTTCCCAAATGTAGAATCTCTGCAGGCGCACATTGCTGTAGAACGGAAATCCAAATGGGAGAGTGCTCCAAGCCACATGTCAAGTATTTCTAAAGTACTCAATTTCAATCGTTGGAAAGAAAGGCATAAGGCAATGAAGCTACCACGCCCGGCATTTGATAAAAGCAACAACCTCCGTGGCTTGCACATGCGCATGAAGATGTACTACAAGCTACTGCGATCCGAATGGCACAAAATCAAACAAAGGAATCAACACCGTAGTCGCTATGGCTTCAAAAAGACCAATGATTTTTCTAAGATCAAGAGCTGGCAGGCCAGGTTGAACAAAAACCTGGAGAGTAAGAGGAATTCACAAAAACTCCACTGGCGAACACAGGACCGACTTGCTCGTAGTCTGAAGCCAGACGAAATCCGACATATGGGCATTGTAAAGAAACGGAGAAAAAATTTTATTTTCACTCATCGCAAAGGCTGCAAACGTGAAGATGAAGAATTGGAAAATAGTTGTATACCTACTGATGATCCAGGTCAGACGGTTAATGAGAGAAAGAAGCAAAATAGTCCAACTAGCCATAATATTGTAAATAATGTGAAAGGACCAGTGTCTGAGACAAATTCCGACAGTGATTGTCATGTGAGTATGATAGTGAGGTTTTAAATGTGCATTTTTAATCAATGACAAAATTGTAGTTTGATATCTATGAACTGATTTAAGCATTTAATGTTACCATGCATGCCATAACTCTCATTTCAATGTGTGTGCAAGCCAAGCATTTACTCTCAACAAGATAGATTGAATTAGGAAATGAGTGACTACTTTGAAAGAATGGAGTTTGGCTAAGTGTGTTTGTGTGTGTGTTTTTAACTTTATTTTGTATATACATATACATATACATTAAAAAAGAAGAAATGGACTGAAAATCTTAGATTTATTGAGATGTAAGATAAGAAAATGAATATAAGAGAGAGAATGATTTAATTAGTTCTTAGCATTAAAATGAAGAATTTCATAACCTACTTATTGTTAATAATCCTGACTTGTAATCCACATACAATAACATAATTGGATGCATGAGTCTTCATGGAACTTAAAGAATTATGTCAATCCATAAATAATCTTCATCACTCACCTCACAAGCTGTAATGTATAGAATAATAAGGAAATTAATGGCATTTCTCAAGATAGTTTTCCTAATGGCAGGAAAACTACATAAGCATCTGTTAAGACTATTGAACTCATTTTTATTGTTAGCATGTTTCAGCTAAATCATTCTGTGTGTCCTCTTCTTGTGTCTCATCCATGATAAAAAAAAGGACAGGAAAGATCTACCCAGCTCCCCAAGTTATAGTAAAATCAGAGAGTAGTGATAAATGACAAAATTTCTCTCTGTGTTGCTAGACTTAAATGTGACTATTGTTTTATTTTTACCCAATTTCTAGAATTTGTGTCACTATAGATTAGAGGAAATTAAACTTGTGATATATTTATTTTAATAAATCTTATTTGTGATATGATGCTTTGTGCATGTGGATACATTAATAAGTCTATAGGTTAATGATGAAAAGAAATGCATTTGTTACAGGAAAAAAAATTTCAACATCATCTTCCTTGTCAGTGCACTTAATTCATTGGTAAATATTAATCCTACACTTTAGACATGCTGTGAAAATTTCGGATTTCAGCTCCTAGTTTCTTGTTAGGCTGCAGGCTTATTGATTCATCCTCATATTACTAAAACTAATATGACACTACTATAAGTCTATGGCATACAGTAAAGTTCAGGACACTACTGAATTGAGGTACAATATCAGTTTGCTAACCATCTTACTGGTGTTGGCAGCCTTGAAATTAGTCTGGCATGATGGAAAATAGGATATTGTACTAGTCTTCCAAGGAAAAGCTTACCCACCATGAAATATATATATATATATATATATATATATATATATATAAAGAAATATAGTCTTAAGGTGTGCTATATTTATGGGATAAAGTGCTCAATATAAAAGATAGAGCATGTGTAAATATAAAAGTGAACATTGAAGTCAACACTTAGAGGCAACAGTCTGTTTCATGCTAGATGCAACCGTCAGGCCACAAGTGATGTTATTTTTCTTGGCTATTTATATATATATGGGTCAGTGGTGCATTGTAGGTAGTCTATTTTGGCGGTTATTTTACTGGAAGTCGTTTATTTATTTATTTATTTGGGTTAAATTATTTTGCCTGTCATTTACTTTTATTTTTATTTCTTATTTTATATATATTTTTTATTTTTATTTTAATTGGTGTTTTTATTAACGTAGTAAAAAAAATGTTTATATTGCTTATTTAATAGTTTTGTTTGTATTTGGGAAGATAATTAAAGCTATTTATTCAATTTTGGGGTTGATTGTTGTAGTTTATTCTAACTATTATTTTGGCGGGAACAGTTTTTAGTTTGTTTATTACTTCATGTATTGGATTGATTATCTTTATTTGTTTTTTTCTAACAGTTAATTTATCAGGATCAGTTTATTTATTTGGATGAATTTAGATTAATTTATTTTGTTTTTTTTATTATTTATTTATTATACTCTATATTTTTATTTACTCTTTTCGGTTTTTGATTTTTAAGTAATATATTTTTTTATCGTTATATAACAGTTATAGATATGTTTTTCATCCGATTTTTGTTTGATTTTTATAGTCTAACTAATATTTGGGTCATAATGGTTTGTTAATTTGTTTATTATTTATTTTATTATTTGGGTTCATTGATTTTATTTTTTATTTATTTTGTCTATTCTAACAGGTGTGATTTAGTAATTTGTTTCGATTAATTTATTTTACTTATTTTATTGTCATTTTGTTTATTTCATTTTTTTTCAGTTTTCAATTATTAAGTAATGTAGTAAAAATTTGTTTTCATGTCTTCACTTTGAGATGAGGTCGGATCTTTTATTTAATAATTTATTTTGGTCTGGGAAGGTAATGATAGCTATTTTTTCCTCCAAGCAAAAATTTGCAAGTTTTGGTTTGGTTATTGTAGGCTGATGATCTTTTCCTTATTTTTCAAGATATGTTTGGTGTGATGTGCGTTTTGTTTTTAATTTCCCAGATATACTTAGAAAGCATTGTGCTGTTCGCATATTTACTATTTGTAAAAGATGTTTTGTGTGCATAATTTCTTTGTTTCCAGGGTCCTTCAGTTACTCCTATGTATACTTTGTCTTCATTATCTGGTGATTTTATTGTGGCTTGGTATATTACGTTGTTTTGTAAACAATTACTATTTAAGGGACATTTGTTCTTTATTCTGCAGTTACACATGGGTTTAATTTGTTTGTGTGGTTTGTTGATAATTTTCCTCTTCTGCTTTTTTATTATTTGTGCCATTTTCTCGGTGCACCTGTAACTGATTTTTACTGTTTTTTTGTTGAATATTTTGTGTAGGGTGCTTGATTCCGGGAAGTGCTTGTGTAAGAGTTTGAAGAATATTTTTCCTACGTTTGTTTAAGAGAAGTGTTTGTGTTCTCGGTGAATAATAATAAATGACTTCTGGTAAAATAACCGCCAAAATAGACTACCCACAATGCACCACTGACCCATATATATATATATATATATATATATATATATATATATATAAAAATCAATTTGCTTAATTTTGAGTAAGAGGTTACGTTCAAGAATATGATCTGTGGTCATATATGATTAATGCAAATTGTTATACTCATATGAGCACTGTGGTAGGGGTGTACAAATCCAAACACAAAGTGATTCTGAAAATAAAGCATGCAAAAAATTGAGATACTTAACTGTCAATATTAACATAAGCTTCAAATTAGAAATGGTTAATTTGGAGAAGAGGATGAAAATTATTAAAATGTCACAAAGAATGAGTCGATGTTAAATCGCTAAAAAGTTTGGATTATCAAAGCATGCCATCCAAGTTAGTCAGGAGAAGCAATGCTTATGTTGAAAGCATCATGGATATAAAAATAGCTGGGTAGACTTTTGAAATTAGATCAAGAAATGGTTTAAATTATAATTACTACTGAAATGTTAGTTCATACAATAAAAACCAAAAATGGTCAAATAAGATAAAATCACTGGGCAAAAGAACTGCTATGTGGGAATGAAAAATGAGTAAAAGTGAGATTCCATCTATTGGTGGGGGGGGGGGAATACTGACACTAGTGTAAAATGTATAACTATCTCTGTTACATAATAGTTTACACATATATTTTCCCCAAATTTCTCTGTTTACACACAGTGTATGTGTGAAAAAAAGAGAAATTTTTGGAAAATATGCCAGGTGAAATTTTATTTTGTTAAAAATGCATCTATCAATAGTTCATGAATGTGGATCTGAATAAAAGATCAGCTTTCTTTCCTTTAAAGATTTGCAATTTCTGTACATAATTATTTTTCAACTCTACAAAATACAATTTTTATTTTATTTTAAAATAGTTAAAAACGTTTAAATTCTTTTTAAAAAGCCCAAATCTCAAAAATGTGAAGGAATTTTGAAAAAAGGGAAAACTGGTTTCTTTTTCTTTCTCTCTTAGAATGTTGTGAAATCTGCTCACTTATTGTACCAATCGGATGAAATTAATGTAATCAAGAAACTTGGAGGTAAGTTCTGCTTTCCACCTTCAGTCTTCTCTTTTTAATCATTTCACAATATTTTCAGTGAAATTTTTAGCTTTAATAAATCTCTCGAGAGACAAATGATATAATAATGCAATATACTTATATTCTGCATGCAATCCATTGTATACATCACATTTATCAAGATTTCAGAAGTGGGGTAAGCAAGATGAATTTCTTTCAGGCTTGTCATGGGTGTTTCAGAGAAAGCCCAATTTGTTTTAAAGACTCTTGTAGATAGTATGATGAATTGTTGGCTGAGCTGAAGTAAATTAATTGGAGTTAGTTTTGTGTTTCTTTTCCAGAAGATATATTGGTTGAGTTGCAAGTACAAAGTTGGGAGAAGGCCAGGACTTCTGTTAAATTAGTTGGCTTAGGAACCAAGTGTATCTGTAGAAATTGTCATGCATAAATAAACCATTGGTCCTTAGGAATGATGAAATATTCTCAAAAGATTTTGACACTCATTGCATTCTTGAAATGAATTCATGCCTCGTGTTTGACACTAGAAAGTTTGTTTTTTTTTCTTCTTCCATCACCAAATATTGCATTCTTCCCCCCTCCCTTAAATGTTCTGTTTATTCATTTATATGCCAGTGTGATTCTGGTTACATTAAATTTGTGTCACAAAGATTGGAATGTAGTATTAAGCAACATGTCACACTTTTTGGACCAGGAATGGCTAATCACATCAAGCTACAACATTGACACTTTCTCCAAGTATTTTGGATTCAATTGTCTGTGCTAACACTTTTTCATGTGACAGATTCAGCATTCTAAATGATGCGCATTGACCTTTCCACTTTTTGGAATTTCCTTTTGTTTCTAAGTGTCAATCATTTCCTTTTAAACAAAAGGATTTTCTTTATTCCCTCATGTTACATGGTTAATTTAAATTGACTTGCTATATTTCTTTATAAGATGTCTTCTTTTAAACAGTTTTACATTGTTTTTATTGGTATTTCTCTTTTATTGTTTAGTATTTTAAACTTATCAATGATCCTCTTCTATAAGGGTTGATTAATAAGCTGACCATTTAAGTATAATTACACCACATTTTTCTTTTTGGCAGTAATTTTCAACATGTCTTAAGATATTATTTAAAAGATTCTTAGTGATTTAATTTTCCTGGTCATAAAATCTGTTTGCTTGCTTCTTCATTGATTGAATATTTGATTCTAGCCATCTTAGTCTCATAAGTGTCAATTGTGTCATACAAAATAGCAATAAATATGGTGGCTTTAACATTTTCTTGTTTGTAATTTAAAATTAAATTTTTGTAGGTTGTGACCCCAGTGACTATGCTATGCGGAAGAGGACGAGGAGTCAAGTTGAACTGGAAAACCTTCACAGAAGGAGCAAAAACTTAGCTCCCATAGCTCTAGATTGGCTAACACATAATATGGCTCAGGTGGCCATGACAGCTCTTCATGATGATTTTAAGAAAAAGAGCCCTACAGCTGGAAGAAATGTCTCAAGTGTTAATTCTGAAGGCAAACATAATACAGATACGTTCATACAGGTAGACTCTAAGGTAAGTAAATTAGTTTCTTTCTTTCTTTTTTTTTTTATATTAGTATAATGCAGAAAAAAAACTACTTATGTCTTTGGAGATTTTGTTATGCCAGTCAGTGTTCATTATATCTAAAATGAAGCTGTGCTTGTTTATGAGTTGAAGTAGTTATCTTCTATCAGCCTCAGTAGTTTGTGTTCAATTCCAGGTAAAAGCCATGATTACAAATAGTTTTTGTTTTTTCCTTCTCCCTAAAACCAGCTTATTCTTCCTATATAGACAATTAGCATACCAACATTTTCTCATTCCCATCTTCCATTTGATATTGTAGAAAAATTGTATTAGAAACAAAGAAAAGATTACTATTTCCACTCAGATTAAGGGGAGCTTTGAGGCAACAATGATGCAGTTCTACAGAAGGATGCTGAGAATACAATGAACTTTGAACATGTGGGCACTGAGGAAATTTTAAGGAAAATGAGGACAAAAAAAAAAAAGACATTTGTACTTAGAATCAGAAAGAAAGCTTGGAAAATTTGATCCTCATAGGCAACAGGGGAAAAGAGAAGCCGAAAGTATTTTAACTAATGAGCTTGTGTAAATAGATGGCAAAACAGAAACTTAGAGGCATGGTAAAGGTGTAAACATTACTCAGAGCTCCAAAGGATAGGGAGCTGTGGAGAGCCATAAGCATCCATATCCTCAGAAGGGACACAACACAAAAGAACAAATAAAATAACCCTGGTAGCTTAATCTTTTATTGTTCACATCTGAAAATCACTTTTTCTTTTGTAAACAAATCAAATAAATGATTCGTAATGTTCATGTAATTTTCTTGACATTCCTCTCTGAAATAGAGAATTTAAGATGAGTTCATAGAAGTATTTGTTGAAATTTTCTCAAAATAGAGCATCTTGAGGAGTAATCATCCTATTTGAAATAGTGAAATGAGCAATTATGATCAGAAACTTTGTGAATAACTGAATCTTATCAAAAGATATGTGGCTTGCATAAAAGTCATTAAAGTAACAAATAAAAATTTTATTTAAAAATAAATGACATACAGTTAAAAGTATTTGAACATCCTGTACTCGATGATGTTTTTTTTTTTTTTTTTAATTTGTCATCTGATTAATTTTAGAAAATATAAATGATAAAAGGAATTTAATAATTTGCTCCTTGAATACGTAAACAAAAAATCTCTCTGTAATATTGTTGTAGAGGTTAGTTGCAGCCCTGTCTTATGTTGCTACATGTATTAGCATTAATTGGTATGTAGAACTCATCAAGGCTTGCTAATAGTGAGGGCATCAGAATTCAAATATTACAAGATCAATATCCAGCCACAAGCCAAGTTTTCCAGTACCAACATATTCATGGAAGCAGTCTGAAGTTGGCTCTATCACTGGACTCGAAGGATATATATATATATTCTCTAAACTGACTTTCATTTCATCATAAAACCACAATTGTTTGTTGGAGGTGGCTGGGCAATATATATCTGACTTAGGCACTACAAATGTTGTCCAATGTTTTGTCTTTTGACTAATTTAAATTTAACTTTGTGGGATCCAATAGCAAGACCCACATCCAGTGTAGAAATTATGAAAAATATGATTCTTACTTCACTTCTCTCACTGTTAAACCTAGTTGCTGATCAATTCTGTCACTGATTTCTAACCTTTGGAATTGGTCACCTAAGAAAAGTTGAAAATCCCAGGAAGGACACTGAATATATTAATCTCTTGCTGGATAATTTGATATGATAGGCTGGCAGTAGTTTTTTACTTGTTTGCTCCTTCAGGGCAATTAATGCACATTGCCATAGTACTTTTCCACTTGTAAGCTCAAACTAGCTTAGTTTTTTTTTTTTGTGTTTAAATAAACCCCATTATTGCAAAATTAGCAATGCTTGCTGGTAAAGGAAATGTATATATGGGAATTAGTGTGGCATCTAAAAAAAAATCACTATTTCTACTCTATCCTCTATTAGTATATGGATCACTATTTCTACTCTATCCTCTATTAGTATATGGATCACTATTTCTACTCTATCTTCTAGTACTATATGGATTATTATTCTCTATACTATTCACTACACTACTATCTATACTGATCACTATTCAGTGGTTACTATTCAAGCAAGTACTATTAGTGTGAGTGTTATTCAAAGGTGATTCAAATGTTAGTGCTATAAAAACAAGAACAACAGTTGAAGCAACAAAAACTACAAGAACAACAACAATTACAGAAAGAAAAAACATGAACAGCAATTACAACTACAACAACAGAAGTTTTTCGAGTTGTTTACCAAAACCATGGAAGGAAAAACTTCAGATTCATTCACTCCATATGCTATTGCTAATTCAATCAGCAAATTTGTATACAATCCAGATGAAGGGATAACTTTTCCAGCTTATTAGAGAAGAAACCAAAAAGGCGGCAGTGTTTGTATTAAAAAATACTGCTAATTTTTTGGAACAGGCAGGATGGCATTGTTTGTTCTTTGGGACCTTCCAATTAACACTTTTTGCAACAAGATAAATATTGTTATTCCCGGTACTAATACAGCAACTGAAAAATTGAAAAATGAACTGAAAAAGTTTTTCAGAAGTTTTTAGGACATGCATGAAAGCAAAAACTAAGTTTGAGTTAAGACAATGTAACACTGACATTTAAACCAAAAAAGAGTGTACCTTTTGTGGCCTTAGATCCAATTAATAATGAATTGGAGAGACTAGGAAAATTAGGTGAGATCTCAAAAATAGACTATTCGGACTGGGCATCATCAACAGTCTACATTAAAAAAAATTAAAAAAAAATAATAAAATTCGCGTATATGCCGATTTTTCGATGGGGTCAAATGAAAGTTTAAAAAAACTACCTGTTATCAAGTTCAGAGGAAATTTTTGCCAAATTAAATGGAGGTATTTTTTTTTTCTAAATTGGACCTGTCAAACACTTACCTACAAGTACTAGTGGATGAGGACTGCTCAAAACTTATCAATTAACATTCATAGAGAGTTATCCAAATTCAACTGACTTCCTTTCAGTGTAAAGGTAGCACCAAGCATATTCCAACAGATAATGGATACCATGCTTGCCAGTTTGGATTGTGCTCAAGCATATTTGGATGACATACTTATTAAAAGTAAGACCCAAAAGCAACAGATGTAAAAAAAAGTATTTGAGAGAATCAAAGAATATGGTTTTAAGATCAGTGAAGGAAAATGCGAATTGTTTATCTCCAAACTTAAATATCTGACAAATTATCGATGAAATGGATAGACAACTGGATCTTTCAAGGGCAAGTATGATAAAGGACATACCTGCTACAATAAATGTAATAAAGTTACAAGCATTTTTAGGGTTTGCTAACTACTATCATACATATATATCCAATATGCATGAATTAAAAGCATCCTTGAATAACCTGCTGAAGAAAGATGTGAAATGGAATTGGTCAGATAAATGTCAAAGTGCTTTTGAAGAGATCAAGAAAGTCTTAACATCGGATTTATTACTAGCTTATTTTGACCCTAAATTAAAGATTGCGTTTGCATCAGATGCAAGTGATTTGGCTATCGGAGCAGTGATACTGCACAAATATGAGGACAGAACAACTAAACCAATAGCTCATGCTTCAAAATCATTGATTGCAGCTGAAAAAAAGCTACAGCCAGATAGAAAAGGAAGCATTGGCAAATATGATATTTGCCATGAAAAAAATTTCATAAATTCATACAAGGTAAAAAATTCATGTTACAGACAGACCATCGTTCATTATTGTCCATATATGGATCAAAAAAGGTTGTTCCCACATATAGAGCAAATAGACTGCAGGAAATTATCCTACTGAACTATAATTATGAAATGGAATTTATACCATTCAAAAAATTAAGTCATGCAGACGGATTGTCTAGACTAATACCATGATTCTGTGAATCACTTGAAGACAGTAATTGTTGCAGTATGGGCTGAAAAATGAAATTTATAATATAGTATACAATGCTGTAAGAGAACTGCCCATAACATTGGAGGAATTAAAAATTAAGTCAGAAAAAGACAACTTTATAATGAAAATGAAGAAGCAATTAAGATTTAAAGGAAAAAATATTACTGGAAATAATGCATTTTCATTATGTAATAATGTACTTATGTACACAGAAAGAATTGTGATACTAGCATTGTTGTAAAATCGAATTTAACATAGGACATCCATGAATTTCTAGAATGAAATCCTTAATGAGGTGTAATACTTACTGGCCAGAAATAGATCAAGATATCAAAAATTTAGTGAAATCATGCAGAGGTTGTGCTCTGGCAGCAAAGTTACTGCCTATCACAATTCAAACTTGACCAAAAACAGATATGCTATAATCCAGAATATGTATAGATTTCACAGGACTGTTAAATGGAGCATGCTATCTAGTGGTAGTCGATAGTCACACTAAATGGCCAGAAATATTAAAATGCAGAAGACAGACTACTGTGGTAACGATAAATTTCCTACACAAGATTTTTGCAAGGTTCAGTGTTGAAGTTTTTTTTGCAAATCATTAGCAATAAAACATATTACAACTCCCACTTATCACCCAACATCAAACAGGCGAGCAGAACGGTTTGTCGATAGTTTTAAAAAAGGGCACTAAAAATGTTGGAGGGAAAGGAGACAGATGAAGTAATGATTCAGCAATTTCTGAGTGTTTACAGAATAACACCAAACCCAAACACTATGTTTGGAATGTCACCTGTAGAGTTGATGTTCGCCAGGAAGATTAAATCCGTTTTTAATAAGTTATTACCAGAACGCAAGGCAAGAACATCAAGAAATAATAATCTAAGTAAATACTTCAAACCTGGAGATAGGTATTTTTTAAAATCTGTCAATATGGAAAAGAATTCTAGGAAGATGGCGTTATAAAAAATGGATCAGCAAAATGACATGCATGGTACAGGGACAAAGGTGGGAACATAAATGACACCATAATCAGTTAAAATGCAGATTTACTGATTTAAAA